AAAGTCAACGACGACCAACGTGCATGGGTTAATTGCATACCATGGGCTGGACCATGCAGCAGTGGTTTCACTCTGTTCCCTTTACATACTTTTACTAACACATAACGCCGTTTGAAATGTATGGTCATCAAAGCAGACATGGAACCTGAATATGAGCAAAGGGTAATCCAAGTCAAGTACTAACCTTGAGGCATGACTTCGATGTTATCTGTCTTGCCACACCATTCCCGTCTCACTTGAGTAGGGCCACAATCATCCGACGCAAATCATATACGTTGGTGATTTACACACTCATATTCTGATTATGAGGGACTTTAGTCTTCCTAAATTCAACTTCGCCGAACAAATTCACGGTGGAAGTGATAATTCAGCTGGCCCTCAGCTCTTAGAAAATGTGAAGTTATTAACTCAACACAGAGATAGTTAGACACCATCGTGCTTAGGCAGCATACTTACAACCAGAAAATTCCTAATTGACAATCTCCTAGCTCCCCTAAGAAATAGTCATCGCGCCACCATAACCTCCAGCTTCACTAGTAAAACGGAGCTAAAACAGCCTAATGACAACAAACGCTGGAATTTTAAACGTTCGGATGCGTCAACTTTACAGAACAGTCTAAAACATTTGGAGTGGGAATCGCAACATTCACTCGACATGGGGGCTCACTGGAGCTTCTCAATAAGCACTACCTTACGTGCTACAAACCAGCCTATCACACAAACATTTATCAACAGATCTAGGTAACGTCCAACCACAAAGAATCGCACAACTCAAAAAGCACTACTGAGTGGAATACAAACTAACTGTTTACGACAGAACACCTGACCACTTCAGGCAAGCGAGGAGCAAATGTACAGAGATAACAAGAAAAGATGGGCTTCCGTATCAAATCAAGCTGATAGCTTGTTTCGCCTCCAATTCAAAAAGCTTATTCCGTTATACAGTTTTTCTTCGACAAGCCCAAAGTGCAGTTTCATACTGTAATACTGTAGAGCTCCAGCTAAAACAGTGCCTTCAAACACTTGATCGTCACATATAAAACGCATCAAAAATAGTTTTGCCTACGTTTTAGCGGAAATCTCAGAAGGGAGTCTGAGCTCTGGACTGATGTATCAGAAATTCCATGATCCAAACAAGTACAGTTCCCCGGTTCGTGTGTGGTTCACTCTGCTACGTTGCGAGAGGCCACTTCAGTCTTGGTAGAGCCGCTTAGTATGTTTTTCTCATACCTCTAAGCCAATGTACGGTTCTGGACAATTAGAAGCTGGCACATATTACACCAATTACACCAATGTGTTAGCTCATTGCTGCTTCCTATGAATCTTACCTGACGATACCGTAATTTGTTTTGTCCAAACTGAATTTCCGGATACATTTTTATGGTCTATGACGTTACAATGTTGTAGTGGCATCGGTCCTAACTAAACTACTCTCAAAGCTGAACATAAGAAGACTGAGAAAATTCATGTTTAACAATTAATACGGATAGATCAGTAATAGTGAACGTGGGGACAACTGATCAGTATGGCATGGCTCAGACGTGCAGGTGTGGTCATTCTGTGTAACTTGTCCCTGTTCGAACCAAATATATTATTTTATCTTCAATCCAAATGTGTACATCAGAAGCCATAAGCATCATACTGCTGATGGTCGCGATACCATGTGTCAGCGCAGACTATGATGAGACTTCCACGTAAGAACTTATGATCATAACAATTTATTTTCGAATAACAGTCTGTTACATGAGGCATGCTAGTTTACAGGAAAGATCAAATTGTTACAGAAGATACAGTCTTCATTGTTGTGGGGTATTCGACTGGTTTATTTCATAAGGCACATTGATCATAAAAGTATGAAGGATAATACTTCTCACATAGAAATGCAAATAATGTTGGTAAAATCCGTATTGTCAATATGACAGTTGGAGCGCTTTAGGGAGGTTGCGTTGCGACTTGCAACTGACAGTTGGGAGTAAATCCACGCAAATTTGAGAGCTCCTATAAACTGTGACCCTTTATCCCTCTGGAACATCTGTGGCATTAATGATGGACCAGGACAAAGTCATCCGTTCCATATACGTTATCGGTGACATGCCTTGGGAGGGCTGAAAACGAGGGTAAGAAAAAAGAAGGACGAGAAGCAAAGCATACAATGTCCATGCTTATTGGAATTGAGTCATCTGTATTGAAATAAAGAAGGTATGACTACTTAGTCTAATTTTCTATTATTAAGGTACATTTTAAGGAAGAGCGTTCTAGTAGGTTAAAGAAAACAAGCGCAAATACAGTATGAATGGACAAACAACTGCGTAAATGGATGTGGTTCGAAAAGAAGCTGAAAGTATAAGATTATGTGAAGTTTTAAAATATAGTACTAAAAACAGTATTCTGATACACAAATAACTATCTCTCATTTTTGTTTAAGCCATTTCAGCTCATTTTTATTTTTATTGATTTTATAGAGTCATGAGCACGCTTCGTCTTTAGCAAATTGTCTAGTTTTGCTTGTAATAAGATTACTCGTTAGGAAGTGGAACAAATTCTACATCACAAACACGATTTGAAGAGGTATTTTGTATAATAAATTAGCATACATATCATTGGTTCGTGACATCCCATGTGACCATAAGGAGCAGCAATTTAACAAAATGTTCTGCCTCACAAACGTGGGCTGATTGAAGTTATCTCCCTCGCTGGTCAGTAACACCACCGTCCTTCCTTTTGTGACGTTAAGCTCTCTTACGTTTGTCGTGTGTATGAATATTGCTTTAACCTAAGCTCCTTTTTGGAATACACTGTCTCTAGTGGTTCCATGTTACAAGCAAATCATATGGTTAAAGCCTCTGTATTGTGGGCTAGATATCCATTTAGTATATCACACTGCTATGAAGATGACTAATGGTAAAAGTTAAAACACGGGTCTCATTATATGTGGTTTAGAGATGGTAAGGATAGATAGAAAATCAAAGAATGTGCAAAGGTTTAGAACTGTAAAATTTTTGGAGTAAGAAAACAAAACATTGAGCGACTCAGAAGAATATAGGACATTATGAGCTTCTTATGATCGGCCGTAGTTGATCAGCATCCATGAGATTAGTGAGTTATCTGTCTACCTGTAATAGAAAAAAACTTATAGAATGAGTAATCATATCATGACAAGTCTACAATTTCGGGATTAGGTATGTCACCACAATAACAAAGATAAATATGCCAATGGCAATTTAGACCGTAATACAACAGTGTAGCCAATCTTAATATATAGAAACATACATTTCTGGAGTCTCTCTGATAAATTAAAGAAGTAAACTATCCAGCGAACCTCGTGTTTCAGGTGGCCTTTAAGATACAAATATCAGACGACAGCCCAGATTGCCCTCTAGAATATACCGCAACACATCCCAATTATCGTATACTCGTAGGAATGAGTTCTTAAGTCCTAAGGGGAGTGGATAAACGAAGGACGACGTCACCACATACATTCTCAGACCTGTCGCTTTAAAACACAAATCATTCGTCACGAGAAAGATCCCGGTCAGTCGTATCGTAGGTGACCTATGTGGACGGTCGCAGTCCAATCCATTTGAACGGGAACGGTGTGGCCTGGCTTACACTGAAATCACACATTGTAATTAATACCTAACGCGGATAGCTCTTTCGTTGTATGCGAGTACTGTGACCACTTCGATGATTGTACGGAATAAATGTAACGACATTGACAAAGTATATTAGTAAGGAAAATTCGAGGAACAGAGTGGAACATCATTTTATAGGCCAGTACATGGCGTTCAACTGATAAGTGCCCATTAGTCAACCTTTAGCATGACGGTGTTCGACAAACTTTCTAACGACCAGTGACTTCGACTAACGTTGAAGTGGTTAGGCTAATGGATGGTTTTCAGGGCTCATCGTGATCGCACTGGCCCTAAGGCATCATCACTTAGCCATGGTTCATAAAAGAACATTATACTTGAGCATACACCACATAAAAGCTTTACGTGTTTCGGAATTGCAAAACGAAACAAATTGTGAATGGGAGAGAGGTGATCTTTAGACACTGTTTGCATAGGAGAAAATCACGTTCCGAGAAATGTCAAACAGTAACACAGCTTTTGGGCCAGCCTTCTTAGGTTTTTGGCACAGTGGGGTAACTTTGAGTTACTACACTCATACTTAGATTATCAGAAGTAGTAGGGTAGAAGTCCTAGTCGAGCTTGAAGATGACACAGGTATTCAGTGTTTGACAACGCTTTTACCAGCAACACCTTCTAATATAATTCGTACCCACCAAGAGAAATCAAAAGACAGAGTCGAGGAGATCGGAAGAGTGTATTTGGCGATAACCAATATATCGGAATTCTCTGATCTAATCTGGCTAGCGATTACGGTAGATGTTGAGTACAGCGTTACCACACGTGATCTGGTGCGGATGCATGACCGAGCGCCTTTAGCTAGATGAGTCCACTAAAACATATGGTCAGCATCCAATGTTGGAAACTTAAAGAGCTATTTATTTAAGGGATTTATTTACCGCTACAAGCTCATCAACATCGACTCGTTCCATCATTAGCTGCAGGATGTCTGAGTAAGCTCACTACAGTAGTCTGACAGGCTGAAGTTTTCTTTTAAAGACCCTAATCCTTTTTTAGGAGAGACTGAATGTTATTCTAAGAGTGGTCACGACAATATCAGAGGAATCTGGAGTTATTTCGAGTGACTTAATTAGGGGTAATCAGGGAATGTATCTAGGTCTGAGAAGTATTTCGAAGTAGTCACTATGTAAATTTGCCAGGTTAAGTCTGTATGGTATCAATTGTTACTGATTTGTATCACGGAGAGCATTTCTTTTTTACAGCTATCCATCTTTTCATCCAGGGATTCCGAAACACCGTGTCTGCATGAAAATCAGATAGACTGGTTAAATTTCGCTCTTTTCTACCAGTATTGTTTGTTCGGAGCTGAGAAAGATCAACTATATAGTTTTTTCATAAACAATTCAGTTTGTTTAGTGCAGTTCAGGTCGGTACGGCTGTTGAAACTGACAAGTGAGCGCAAGGTTTGTCTTCTATTTCGTGGTTTGTTTGACGAAGTTGTTTTGCATGTATGACAAACTGTCTCTCTGTTACCAGAACCCCAATTTAACAAAGGGCTTTGAACCTCAGCAATTTACGTGTATATTAGATGTTAGACTTTCGAGATTATCTATAGGCTGGTAACCAACTTGACATTTTTAAAGTGTGTTGTGTACAGTTATCAAGGTTTGAAGTCTGAAAAAACCATCTACTTCAGTTTAGGCAGTAAATTGTATGGTAGTAAGACTAAATCATGCGAATGGCTATATGTGACTTTAGGAGTCATTGATCTGTTAAAGTACATATTATGTAAACGAACTATGTATTGCATAGAAACATCCTCAATGGATATGGGGGTTTAACTTAATAAAGTCCATAATAAGTTCTCTGATGTAGATATCGTAGTACTTTCCGACATTTTTCAGACTATCATTTTGCTAAAACGCCCGAGTTTTTTCGAGGCTGATTTTAACGAGTCCTAGCTAAGCGTCGGATGATTATTGAGGCCAATATTTTGGATACTATGTTAGTCAGACTGATTCGTCTATGGTTGTCAGCAAAGGATTTTTGTCCTTATAGACTGGGACGATCAGCGATCGAGACCAGTCAGACGGGGTTATATCCAGCTCCCAGATTCTGACTGAGATTTCAGTTAATCTAATACCTAAAACTGGGTTACTAACTTTCAATATCTCAGGGGTTAATCGATCAAGTCCTGCTACTCTCTTGAACTTAATGTTTCTTATAGCCCTTTTCACCTGACTACGAGTTGTACACATATGGATAGTGGGTAACTGGGATACCACTGAAGACCGGTTGAAAGTGTCCTCCCTATCCGTTTAATCCCCAGGATTGGAAGTGGATTATAGTCCCGTCTTTCTCAGAAATAAAATCCGGGATTCTTATACCCGTTCCCTTGATAAGTTTGAACGGTTGTCTATTGTTACCAATCGCTGCTACCTTTATCATCTCTGCTTCCGCTACCTACTCCCACCTCACGAATACGTAGGTTTTCTGTCAGCCTACGTCTAAGCTGCCCTCGCTGCTCATCGTGTACGGAGCCAAATAGGATGGATTTCCGTGCATCTATCAGCCTCTGGAATCCACCGATTTTTTGGCCTTTTGGTTTAAGTTGCCGGTAGATGTCTCTGTTGTTTTCACAGCTTTTTAGATATTCTACTGAACCACCTCGCTGTATATATCGCTTTCACTGTTGACTAGATCTTTCTCGAGATGGCCCCAAAAATATTCTTTACTTTTCCATCATTACGTTGAACTACAAGATTTCTTGCTGTAGCTCTTCTACGTTCTGTATGGGCGGCCAAACCAAAACGTGGCATCAGTCCTTGAAGTCACTAACCTCTAGTCTGAGCAATGTTGGTAGATGCAGACTACTTGGTTGGGGTCCGCGTGACTATCGTGACCAATGGTTGGAGACTGGGTGACATGGCCCAGAATCAATCACAGTGGCGTCGGTGTATACACTCTTTGTCTTACCTTAAACTAAGAGATTAAAATTACTTCATATCTTTCTTTCTGTGAACTAATTCTTTCTTCCTGTATTATATCCTTATATGCAATCTTTCTTTTATATATTATCACCTCTGAATTAACTATTTCTATGAATTCGGTGTTCATCTTGTTGTGCTATCGAGGTATGGCAACTTGGACCGATGCACATATATACCTGGTCCTACGTTGTGGCTGACTGACTGAGTGAAGATGCAAACAAACATGTGCCTTAACCAGAGCATTATCCGAGTCTAAACACGTGCTTCTGAATAAGCGACAGTCTTCTATCTGGCCCCTCTCGCCAACGATGGTCTATGGGAATATTTGATTTCTTTCTTGAGTCAATCACTCAGATCTAAGAAAGCAGATATGAATGTTGACTCGAGATAATCAGTGTAGTTTAGTTTTGCTGGTATCATTAGTTCTCATACATAAAGTATGGCTGTTAGTCGAGTACATCTTAATATAGTAATGAATAGGGAAATGCATGCAATTAATACATGAAAAAGCGAAGATATATGATGAACTAGTTTTAATGAGGTCAGGGGTAAAATAATTTTATTTAGACACGAGAGGCATCTTACTGCTTGTAAATAATAGTGAAAAATTACATGGATCATCCCTAGCTTTTATCCTGAGCCACTGACAAGCGTAGTAAGTAATCTCGACCAGTAGTTTTAGACCTTAGGTAGTATTCCTCAGAATGCATGTACTCTTTATTGCTCTGGATCATGGGTTTTACTATTGTTTTACGCTTCACTACATTTATTTTTGAATCTTAACACAACGCTGCTACTATTTCAACTTCGTGGTTTATCTTGTTCACTTTGTTTCGTGATGCTGGCTTGATGACGCCACTTAAGCTGATATATGTATGCGGTAGGTCTTACGTTTATTATGCCTGACTGAATCTTTACTAACATACTTCTTAAGATCTTGTGGCTGTCTGACGCTTAACTGTAACACAAAACAACTGAACTAGAAAAAAACAGCTAGATTTAAGGTTTATACATCAAAATACTAGCTTGATCTACTGCACATTGAATTCGGGAGTACAGGCATATTTGTTGACATCTAACAGCAATCGCACCTCTGAGGATTTCATTGAAAAGCACATCCTTGGAGAATGTGACTTCAGATGTCGGACTTCAATTGAAAAGTACTGACTAGTTAATGATCACCTACTGGTAGGTACGCTTACAACTGAACAGGGAGTCAGTTGATTTGTGCTTTGGACATCCATCACTTAGTTTGACTTTGGTGTGGTCTACCAATAGATGGACATCGAAATATCATGTTACAAAATTAACCCGTGTCATTAAAGAGAACTAAAAGACCAGTGAAGAAACTTTTTTTTCAACGACATCACTTACTCAAGTTGTATAGCCGTATTCATGGTTATTCAACAAACAAGATAGCCTGTCAAAGAATAGGGAGCGCAATGCCTAACAAACTATTCGGGAACTCCAAGCGTTAAAACAGGGTTGCGTAACCATCGGTAAAGTGGATTCCAATTTGTAGGAGATAATTGTTAATTTGGAGTATATGAGTGTTATAACTTGTGGCCTGTGTACCCTGTTAATGTACAACGTAATAATACCGCCAGTTAGCAGTAAATTATCGATCGGACCAGTAACGCATAAGACACGTACGAGCAGTCTAGAGTCCTTATTGGTCTTGCTTCCTGCTTAGTCCAGCCAGTTAAGTCCAGAACACCAATCTCAGCCTCTGTGATATGAATCATTCATTTCATGCATACTGGGTTTATATAACAACCAGACAGACCGCACCGTACCATAAAATATGAAACAACATTTGTACAAGAATTAGCCAAATGTGACAATGAGGGAGGTAGTAATTAATAGACAGGGCATAATTCAAGAATGGTAGATCGTATAATAATAGTCCATAGGTCAAAATGAGGCTTATGATAAGAAGGACATGAATATGAATAGTTTGGTTATTTAACGATTGTACGATAAAAATATACTCATAGTATTGGTCCATAAATGGATCCCAAAAGTTACTATTTATTATGCTTATCCGGACATAACAATCAGGAAGACAAGGTAAAGTAAAATTACGTAGTATTAATAACGAATCGTCAAAAAGATAAAAACGCTAGGGGAAAGTACTCACAGCTAACTCATACAAAAATCAAGTGTTAGAGCTATGGGTAGGATCCGAGCGTGAACTTTTCGCTTTTTCACGCAGTTATGGTTTAAAAGGAATTTTTAACGCCTTTGTAATACACAGATTATTGGTTTGCGCTCACTTCAAACTCAATTGTTTGCCTGTTTAGGTGATCTTGAAAGATATATTTGGTGGAACACGATGACTATAGTCGACAAGCTCTTTCAATATTTACCTGTTTCTTGTTTCGTAGTTTATTTTCTGTATCTGATATTATTCGGCATGTTTTTTTCCTCTAAATGTCATTCTTCTACTAATTACAGTTCTAAAAAATCGATTCGAAAGCCATTCTGTATTCACTTCAACTGTAGCTTCACACAGACTGGTTGAACGGCACTATAGAAAGTGCTTGAATAAAGTAACCATCGAAAAAAATAAATCCTACAAACATCTTGTCTTTAGTTTTCCTCTGTCATGAGATTCATAGTACATCAATCGAGATGTTTAAACGTACATAGTTCTGCTCGGTACATCAAATTAATAGAATGAATACCAATTGCTGTGATGTAGGCAGATAATCTTGTTTTTTTGTTTGGTAATTCACCCGTAAAAAACTTAGGCTGCAATCCAAAATCAAACAAGATAAATGTGGTGGACATTCGAGACGCAACTCAATTTGAGATTGTTTAGTTATGAACATGATTAGAGAAGAAACTTTTCGAGACCCAATCCTACAAGAAGTTAGAAAGTTCCATCTAGAAGGGCGGCCTTCAAAAATCAGCTCTACAGAGCTTCAACAGTTTTACTAGCGTAGACTCAATCATCGACGACTGCCCGTTGTTTGCTGAATGTGTCATAATCCCAAAGGAGCTATAACCAGCAATCCTTGACCAGTTGCACGTTGGACATCCTAGAAGAAATCGAATGAAAGCACTATCACGAAGTTATATATACTGACCGCGTTTAGACTTTCAACTGGATCATCTGTCCCATTCGTGTACCAAATGTGCATTGGCAACAGAGGCACCGCGAAAAGCAGAGCTGCAATCATGGCCAATATCACAGTCACTGTGGCAGCGTATACACTCGGACTTTGCTGGCACACTTCATGGACAAACTTACTTTCTGGTAGTTGATGCATACAGCAAGTGGCCAGAAATTTTTCTCATGGAACACCCAACTGCAAGCTGCACAGTAAACTACTTCAACTATTCAGTCGTTTCGGAGTCTCATAATTGATAGTTAATGACAATGGAACACAGTTTACATCCACTACCTTCCCAGAATTTTGTCGGCAGAACGGAGTAAATCATGTTCAAACACGTCCATTCCATCCTCGACCCAATGGTAAAGTGGAACGCTTTGTGAGCACATTTAAAAATGCTCTAAAAATATAAAGGGTAGGTGACCACCGAAAAGATCCTAGCGAGGTTCCTGCTTATTTATCGCTCTACATCAAACCCTCAGACGATTAACGGGGTCTCCCCAGCAGAAGCTCTACTTGGCAGAAAAATACGAACACATTTCGATGTCATCTGTCCTACGCCAGCTCTCGAGCCTCAACGAAGCGTATCGATGGGGAAGCAGTTCAGTCGACATCATGGGGCACAAAGATGATTGTTCACGGTGGGTCAGAAAGTACTTGCTATGGACTATCGTGGAAAACATCCTACATGGACAGCTGATCGGGTCGTGCAAGAAAAAGGAAATGTGGTTTATGAGGTGTCAGTTGGCTCAGAAGTTTGGGTACGTCATGCTAACCAATTGGAAGTAACTCCAACAACTCGCAACGAGACTCGTTATAGAATATCTCTTGACGTTCTGCTAGACGCCTTTGAAATCGAAACGCAAGCAAAGAGTGATACAACTTTATTGCCTAGATGATGGACAAATCGAAATCACAGGCCGGTCACTCAGTTGCAGTTGGACCCTAGCACCTGATCCTGCGAACCTGCTCAAAGGGGAAGTGTTAGCGGGACTTAGATTGGATTAAGGCATGTTTCATGCACGATTGCTTTGGTGTGTGCTGATTGGCCGATTCTTAACTAATCAGCGCTAGTCGATACTTGGAGAAGTCTCTAGAATTCTCTCGTGTAAAAACTATAAATACACTAACGTTTTTCTTATTTTGCTTCTTAATTCCATCTGCTCTTGTTATTTGGAATATAATTTCTTTCCTGATCAACCGTGTTCTGATTTGGGGACTTGTAGAGTGAATTGGTGTCCAAGGAATACTAAGCAATAGGAATAGCTGAGCTGTAATAGAGAATTATAACATTTTAAACCCCTTTCGTCCCATCTGACCAGGTAGAAATCGTCACCCCAAACGTCTGTGTCAGCTGTTGTTTGTTAAACCCGTTGACACCGTACTTCTATTTAGTTTTACCATGATTACCCAAGGCCGTGAATTTAAGTTCTATTTCGTATTTTTTTTGTACCTTTGTTTGGTAAATGGGGCTCAAACCCGTTACTCATTAGTTGTGTTGGGTTTGCGTACTTCACTAGTGTGAAATGACTTATCTTAAAATTTGTATCAGATCAGTTTGTTCCCGGGAATCATTTTTTTTTTAGGTTAGTCAATCATGGGTGTTCCAGCTTTTTTCAGATGGCTGAGTATGAAATATCCATCAATTGTCACCCATTGTGCAGAGAAACGTGGAGCTATTTTGGATGATGATGGCAATAGATCACCTATAGATACATCGGAGCCGAATCCAAATGGAGAAGAATTCGACAATCTATATTTAGATATGAACGGTATTATCCATCCATGTACGCATCCAGAAAACAAACCAGCTCCAAAAACGGAGTCGGAAATGTTCCTAGCTATTTTCGAATACATAGATAGACTATTTGCCATTGTTCGCCCTAGAAGAGTACTGTATATGGCCATCGATGGAGTGGCTCCACGTGCTAAAATGAATCAACAACGCTCCAGACGTTTTCGAGCGGCTCAAGAGGCGAAAGAAAAACATATAACTATTGAGCGTTTAAGGAATGAACTAATTGCAAGAGGGGCGCATCTTCCACCACCTAAGGAAGAACATTTTGATTCCAATTGTATTACTCCAGGAACACCATTTATGGCACGTTTGGCTGTTGCTTTAAGGGGGTATATATATACTCGTTTGACAAAAGATCCAGGATGGAAGAATCTGATGGTTAGTTTACGATGTGATTAGAATGATGTGTTCTGCGACTTTTGTTTTAAGTTGAATTGGCTTTCAGTTTTGATGCATATTTATCACAATAGTTTGTAGTTATTGTGACAGTTAAACTACCTTGAATACATCGGTTAATTTTTTGCGGTTTTATCTTTCATTTGACCGTCTTATCACTTTTACATCAGTTTTTCATTGTTTCTTAATACCCTAATCATAAGATACGATGTTACGGCAGTCATTTTTCAAAAGGGCTTGAAATTTTCCTCATCCGGAGATTATAAACGTTTTCCTAGTAATTAAGTGTGGTCTCTTTCTATATTATACACCAGAGCCAACTGTATAGCTATTAAATGTGACCTATGTAGAATATAGTTATAGTTTTCTGAATTCGTGCTACAACTTTGTCAGACATCAACCCATTAGAGATTAAGAAACTTTCAAGATTAATACGCCCAACTACTTCACTCTCTATCAGTAGTTCAGGGAGTAACATTTCGCATCTAAGGGGAGAGGAACGCACCCCGAACATTCCTGTATTGTTGCTTAAGGTGGTCAAAAGACTGGATTTTGTTAGCGTCTTCACCACATAGAGCCATATCATCTGCGTATTTTAAGCCATCAGGTGAATCTTTTGGTGGACCAACTCCCGAAAAGTCAAACGATGAGTGTCATCTCTAAAAGTATGTCTATGACATGGTTAAATAAAAATGGGGAAAGTTAGCAAGCCTGATGAGCACCACTTGAAGTAATCAGTTCCGACTACAGTTCTCCATAAGCTCTGATTCGACCATTAATGTTCGAGTAGGGAGCCTATACAAGGTTAATGTACGTCTTTTGGTACGGCTTTCAATGACAGACTGTCAAATATAACCTCAAGATCAACAGATTCGAATGCCGCCCTAAGGTCAAGGGATAGAATTATAGTCGGATGTCGAAAATTATATCTGTGTTCCAGAATCTGCCGAATAGTGAATATTTAGTGTATACATCCACATCCAGATCTGAATCCAGTTTGATTTTCTCGAGCCTGCTCTTCACGAGTCCTAGCGTCGGATGATTATTGAGGCCAATATTTTGGATACTATGTTAGTCAGACTGATTCGTCTATGGTTGTCAGCAAAGGATTTTTGTCCTTATAGACTGGGACGATCAGCGATCGAGACCAGTCAGACGGGGTTATATCCAGCTCCCAGATTCTGACTGAGATTTCAGTTAATCTAATACCTAAAACTGGGTTACTAACTTTCAATATCTCAGGGGTTAATCGATCAAGTCCTGCTACTCTCTCTCGCCTTAGATTAGCTACATTTTTTTCTATTTCATTAAGAGTTGAATGTTTTATGTTTACATCCCTTTCAGGTTGCTTGCTAAAAGTAGGCAACCAAAGGATAGCTGGAGAGCAGTTAGACTATTCTTCAAAGTTTTTGTTCATCGTTTCAGCCTTCTGAGTTCAGTGGATCATTGTCCCATCACTCTTAGAAATTGTCATCAATTCCTGGATTTTCTCTCTATTTATTCGACAAGTATAAGAAGTTTGTTTTTGTGTAGAGCCGCTTCCTTTTTCCATCGCTTTCACTGCTCATAGTCGTTGCGTAGACGTTTTGTCAGTTTACGTTTAAGTTACCTTCTTTCCTCATCGTGTTTCAAGCTTAATGGTTTGAGTTTTGGACATTTTATCAATTCGGTACGCACCACTGAAATCCAGTAATTTTTCTTAACCTATTGATTAAAGCCACTCGTAAATATCATCGCTCTTTTCACAAGTGTCTCAATGTTATGCCAATCCATATCACTTTAGTGATTGACTAATTGCTCTAGTTCGTGAAACGTACTCTTGGTATTTTGTTGTTAAGTTGAACTTCAAGGGGTCTTCTTAGTATAGCTTCTATGTGTCCACTAAAATGTTATATCTACTCCAGCAAGGTTATCAGAAGTCATGGTAAAGTCTCTAAATAAACAAAGGGAAAATTTCACAGGTTCTCTGCTTCAGCTACGTAAGTTCAAGTCGATGACCACACTTGAATCCTGTGTGTTTCGGAGACATGGCGTACATTGATGGCACAGGTTCTGGAGTTCTAACTAAGTAAATCTTTTGGCTTATTTGACATAGGGTTCGATATTGAAAGCTTTGGTCATGATCAAGGGATCTCGGGTGCTGTTAAAGGCGTGGTGGAAGTTATTACTTTTCAGTCCCTCACACTGTGGTGTGGTAGGATATTTCTTCTTGAGGGACCTAAAGAAGAAATAGGCTTAAAGGTGATCTTAAAGACCTGAAACTGTGACCACAGAGGCCAACGGAAAACTTCTTAAGGTTATTAACTTACAGCCTTTACATGTGAAGCTTTCGATGTGTCAGCTTTATATTTCGAAAGACTTTATCGCTGGAGATGGAAATTCGTGTGGATAATATGTGGTGTAGCATTTTTAAGGTCAATCTTTTCTGACCTTTCTTTCGTTGTTAGAAGGCAGCTTCACAGCAGATGCTAGATGTGGGAGGGAAATACTCGCTGTCATATCCTTGTACAGTCAGCAGTACGACTTCGCCCTCGGACTTTAAGTTGCTGCTTTTTGTCCTACTGTTCTTCAGCCGACCTGCCCTGCGTGATAAGACATAGAGAAACATGTGTTCCACTCAATATAATCCAGTTGAGTCGTCACAGTAGGCAAGCCCAGCCACCACGTCAAGGTGACAGATACGATCGAGTGATTTGTGAATGGTTTTAGGCCAGTATCGAATTTTGTAGGGAGATGGTTTTTAGTAGTCTCTAAGGTGGTCTTCAAGTTCAAGTTCATTAACTTAATTAATGGTTTATATCTTCTTCATTATTTTAAGGTATTCTTGAGTGACGCAAATGTTCCTGGTGAGGGTGAACATAAAATCATGGATTTTATCAGACGACAGAGAAATAATCCAACTCATGACGCCAATACGAAACATTGTTTATGTGGCGCTGACGCTGACCTTATAATGCTTGGATTAGCCACACATGAACCATATTTTACTATTATTCGTGAGGAATTTAAACCAAACCAACCAAAACCTTGTGATTTGTGCGGCCAGATGGGTCATGAGATGGAGGACTGCGTAGGTGCTCCAAAAGAAGAAGATCCAAACGAAGGTCCTCCACTACCTTCAGGAGATGTGGTATGCTCATTCATTTTACGATGACTTAATTTTTATTTAGTTCTACTCTAATTGTTTTTGTTAACCTTTGTTTCGTTAGTTGCTATAAAACAACAAGCAAAAGTCAGCCCACATGTTTCACAGCTATTTCTGGATGTCAATAGAATATGACCTTAGCGTTTATTATTCATTATTACCACTCTTAAAATTCACATTTGCTTTACTATATCGTATATAAATCAACAGACAAGAGTTCATTCCATTTTTTTTCTAATAATGTCATATATTATTTTTCATAAGGTAGGTTTTTGTAGATTAGTAGTAATTTAACCTACTAACGATTTACAATAACACAAATTAGCAGTGACAAATCTGTAGGGTCATAAAATCAATCTGTTAATAATCCTCTTTTTGCAAGTCACTATTTCCGTTTGGTTTCAAGTATTTACATATAGATCTTAAGCATGTATTCTCTTGAAAGTATCATCAGGTATACAATGATTCGATTTGTAAATGTTTTCGGTGATAGCTTACTGAGTTACTTCATTCTGAGTTTATTTCTCAGAATTACCTACTTCAGTGAATTTCGCAAACGAGGATTGCACAGTTTAAACTCTACAATCAATCAATCTCTAGATAAACAAACAAGCACTCCAGCATCTTAATATGTTTAAAGAACTTCGTTTATGAAGTGTTGTAGTGTCGGTTACTGTGTTAAGGCCACATGACTTATTCTAGCTTCTGAACAGGTCCATTTATTCATTCTTATTGAGTCACGTTTTAACCTTGTTAATTATTTGCTTATCAACCCTGACTTTTTATATGAGCGTATGTATGTGTGCATCTTATCCTACCCATTACATATCTGTAGTTTATTTTTTTGTGACTATAAATATTGATTGACGCTTGATTAAATCAAGTTGGCTCACATGTGTTTTCCACCGCGTGTAATTTCTCTCTCTCTTCTCTTCGCTTCATCCCTCTGACCGGTTGTCTAGATCAATGAGTGTACAAAATACATATATTCAGAAATCCATTCTCGTATTTGATTAATTTAGTTCCGTTATTCACTAACGCGGATTAAGTCGATAATTATATACGAGGATTGGCTAAATGTATATTTCAATAACGTTCATACGATCCAATTGGAGCCAGATATAGGGCCACAAAAGTGGTGAGCCCGTTGACAACATCTGATTTAACTGACGTCAAAATGAAGGGCCCCACTAAAATGTCACCAAACGAGCCTTCAGCACAACTAATTATTTGTTCACTAATTAGCTCCGTGTGTAATGTAATAAAACATCCTGGATTTTTTAGATATCGCAAAACTTTTGTGCAGTTCCAAACATTTCATCGATTGCATTTGTTATTTGGCGAATAAGCGATATTATCTCGCGACATGGTTTGGCTAAATGGAATAAGGTTGTTGGGTTAGGGTGTTGGTCAACCCGGGTCTGTCAAAAACGACTGATACACCAGTCGATTAGTTTGTTGCCGGTTGTTTGGACAGAGGCTTACTTGCTCGATAGTAGGCAATATCAGCATCTCAAAGTCATTCAAAGTACCTATTCAGCGTATTTTTCAGTTGAATGAAGTTAGTTGAATAAATAAGTGTCCCCTCAAAAAGTGGCGTTTTGGAAAGCCTTACTGTACTAATACTAATAAATAATTTCATATATTACTAGTGCTCGTCCTATGTGTATAAGCTGTTTATCATTTTATATGCAGTGCTTCCTCAAATATGTTTTAATAAGTCACTGTAAGTTGTGAATTGTTTTGGATATAATAGTTATTGTTTTCAAAGTTTCAACGCTTATCCTCGTTCTTTTTCATTTTTATGTTTGTAGGATTTCATCTTTATTCGCTTGAATGTTCTAAGACAATATCTAGCAGAAGATCTGAAGTTGGCCGGCATTACATTTGAATGGGATCTCGAACGAGTCATTGACGATTGGGTTTTTATGTGCTTTTTCGTTGGAAATGACTTCCTCCCTCATCTTCCGAGTTTGGAAATCCGTGAAGGAGCAATTGATCGTTTGATTGAAATCTATAAGTCAACAGTCCAGAAAACGGGAGGGTGGCTTACTGATAGTGGACGAGTCAATTTAGAGCGTGTCCAACTCATTATGGTTGATTTGGGAAAGATGGAGGATGAGATCTTCAAAAATCGTCGTGAATCAGAACTACAGTTTCGTAATAGAAAGCGCCAACATTCATCTGGCAATGGTTATGATAAAAACCAACGCGGGTTCGCTCCACAGCGATTGGGTCACCGCCCATCATTCGAAGTGTCTCAGTCTGGTTTTATGGAACCTATTCCCCTAAGAGGACGTCACGGAATAGCACACCCCAAAGGTCACTATACAAATCAAGTTGTTTCTGCTGATGAGTTATTAGCTGCACGACGTTATCAGGGTAGATGTCAAGAAAGTGTTAATTGGGTGGATAGAAATTTAAATAACCTCGAGGCAGCAACAGCACTGAAAGCTATGCTGAAACGCGATAAACCTATTGAAAACGGAATCTCAAATAATATGAATAGTCCCACTATTCTTCCGAAAATACCTCGAATTATTTCTGATAACAACACAAGTCTACAAGGTGTTTCATCTGGTCGCAACAACAGATCAGGTAATCATCACGACGATGAGGATGAGATGATGGATGCTGCGGATGAAGTACGGTTTTGGGAAGATGGATGGAGATCACGATATTATCGATCTAAATTTGGAGTTGACCCGACAGATGCACCTGGGTTCTGTATCAAAGTTGGTCAGGAATATGCCCTTGGTTTATGCTGGGTCTTAGCCTATTATTACCAAGGTTGTGCTTCATGGGATTGGTATTTCCCGTATCATTATGCTCCATTTGCCAGTGACTTCTCCAAAATCTCAGAACTCGATGTTGACTTTTCGAAAAAAGAAACAAAACCGTTTAGACCACTGGAGCAACTTATGAGCGTGTTCCCGGCCGACTCTCGTAGTCACGTCCCTCCAGCGTGGCAGGACTTAATGACCGATCCCGATTCTCCTATAATTGATTTTTACCCAACAGACTTCAAAGTAGACTTGAATGGCAAACGATATCTGTGGATGGGTGTAGCTTTGTTACCATTTGTTGATGAGGTTCGTTTGCTGAAAGCTTTGGATGCCCGAAGAAATCTTTTAACAAAAGAAGAGATTGAGAGAAATGTTCGTGGTTCAGACCAGTTGTTTTGTAGAGCTGATCATTCTGCTGGTCCATTGTTGCATTCTCTATACAAAGTATCACATGAAAAGATTGAGAAAGATAATTCGGAAGAACAAATCATACCAACTTGGGCATCTGCAATTGATCCACGTGTTACGTTTGGAATTAGTGGTCTAATCTGGCCTAACAAAATGGCTTACTTGCCTGGGAGTCGTGTACCTAGTGCAGTCCCAGGTCACGTTCCTGATTTAAAGGTTTCTGAAGCTGTATCAATATGTTTTTCAGATCCTCAATATCCAAAGGGCTTCGTCTTTCCTTCCAAGTTACTTGAATCCGTAAGTTTCCATATATTGTTATGTTGGATTTTTCCGACAAGTTTCTATTCATTAACATCGATTGTCGTCCCCATGTGACACAAATTTATATAGTAGACTGTTTTATGTCCTGTTTTTCCCCATTTTTTCTCCGTATGCATCGCAGATGTAGAATAGGCGAAAAACATTTGAGCAACTTATCAAGGCTAGATGTTCATGAATTCAAAAATACTTTTTTAGTGTACATTATAAAGCGTAATTCTGTTAATCTTATTCCATAGTGTTTTTATGGAAGTCAGTAGAGGCATAGCCATCGCTTTTAAAAAGACTCATTTTTAAAACATTCGTAAATCGAATAAACGATTGGGCTATCGAGTAGCGACTGTAGATAGTTGCAAGTGGAGGTAGTCAAAAATATTGATCACTAAGTCCCAATTCATTGTACTAATTGTAACACACGATTCGAGGTTTGATGATCCATGATACAGATATTTTTACGGTTTCGAGAGATCATACACAGTATTTATAGTTCACAATTTAGCGCATGAATTTGGACGTGTAAAGTATTATATTGACAATATAATACTTTACACATTTACGTTTGTACAATTTGATACATCTCGCAACAGCTCAGTCAATATAAATAGAAATTTATCAATATGAATAAGATGCTATGATTCGGGAAGGTAAAACAATCGTCTGAAAACACTTAGGAGACAAAAGGTAAAAAGCAAATGGGTTTACTTAATTAAGTTTAGTTTCAATCCATGTCATCTAAGTCTCCAAATACCCTGGTACAGCCAGGAGTGGGGAGAGTCTGCTCTCCCCCTCGAAATGCTCTCACATGGCCACGTGCATACAACCACTGCAAGGGAAGTTCTCATGGTGGAGATGTTGTTTATGAAGAGCGAATGTCCGGCGCTTTAACCGGGCTGGTGGATATGGAAAATCCACCCTGATTCAAGTTGATGGTGCACATGGGCTTCAGAATCCTGACGGAACAAATGGCATATGAACCAACCGTTGGTCACCGACTACTATGGGACTGCATCTCGTAAAGTTGCTCCACTGCCTTGTAGATTAGACTTTTAGATCAAAGGTTCGGACGATGGCCCCCTAAGAAAACCTCTTACTTGGTTTGGGCACCCGGGCAATGTCCCAGCCCTCACACAACTCGAATGATTTATGTGTCACATATCTATTTGGTACCTCCTTGCACCAATGTTTGTGTTTAAATAAAGTAAATGTCATCTAAGATCTTAAATTACAGGCTTTCGCCTTTCTGAGGGTCTCGGTGTTTGGCGGGATTGCAGTTTTCAAGCCTTGGAATTCCTATGAATCATAAAAGTATTTTAGTAATCAACTCGTTTGTTTTTGGATCATCAAAAGTAGATTTCTAACCTTTTATGACAAATATTTGTAAAGATTAACAATTGAAAATAGTGTACGGTAACTTTTTCTAGATGTTATAATCTAGTTTAATTTAAATACTGATTTGGTTCCGAACTTGTACGTAACTTACAAGACTCATCGTATTCTCAATTTGAATTTTTAAAATATCATTTACCAAACTTGTGATGAATAAATGGAGTTTTTTCTGTTTTTTGAAGGTTAAAATGCCACCCCCAGTGTACCTTCAACCTCCTCAGCGTGGTAGAGGAAGAGGACGAGCAAGTTTTCGCACCGATGAACATCGTGGACGTTTTAATGCCAATGCAGCTATGCAGTACTATGCTCGAGACAATTCGTCAGATAGGGAGGATACTGGTAGAGATTTTTATCCAAACTCACCGATGAACAGGATGGTTATGAATTCATTACCACGATATCAGCGCAGTCGAGGTAGCCACTTACAGTATTCATCTAGATCAGATTGTGGCAAACTAAGTAACAACATTCCACCAAATTGGCGACCTGGGTCTTTTAATCGTTTTCCTCCTCAAAATGATGCTTATCATCGAGGTGGACCTGCCTATCGTCAATCTAGTAGTCATCCATACGCTAATCCGTATTCTGTCCATCCTCCAAACTTCAGTACAGGCCTTTCCAATTCAGTCGTTAAGAATAGCCGCCCACCATGGTTGCCTCCAAATGGTAGGGGTTGATCAAAATATCAAAGCTTTTACTACTTATTTCCATATTCATACTACTTTCTTCCTGCATTTTTATATTTTATTATTATAACAAACTATTAGTTGTATATGATGTAGAAATTATTTTGCGCCTGTACAACACAAGTAATAAATATTTACTCCTTTCTCCACCCCTTCTATTTACATTAACATGTATACTAGTAACTGTATTCTGGCACAATTAAATGGCAATTTGTATAGTGAATATCACTGATCATTTGTCAATTTCTATTTAACAACTGAGTTGTGTAGTGACACTAAATTGTGAAAGACTAATATAATTTTTTCGAAATTTCAGCTGTTAATATAAACAATTGATATTCTGTTCCAAAGATTTTTATTAATTTCCTCATTCTTAGTGAATTTTTAAACCGTACTTGTTACGTACTGAACAACTGGTACTCAATTCAACTAAATGACTCAATGGGATCCATAAATAATTCACAACCTAGGTTCTCATTGTTTTAGATTATTCACTGTCCTAGCCACTAACAGTTGAATAAACACTGGATGGTATATTTTGCTACTTTTACCATGTGATAATGCGAAATACCTGGGTATTTTTAAATCTGTTAGGTTTAACTTAGTACGATTTTGCATGAATATTCCAGTTCTCATAAAAGACATAAAACTTTCAAAACCGTGATGGAAGATCTTTTTAACGAAAAGCAATGGGCCAAACAAACGTACCCCGTTCTTTGATATGCTCAAGAGTTTGTAAGAATGTATTTTACATAATAGTAAGATCGTATAGTACGTAGTTCCAGTGAAAATGAGTGGATATGCTTGAGTACTCACTGCTGAAAGTATGATAGATTGTACTCACATTAACTTGCGTTCCAAATTGAATAGGTCATGAAAGCTTTATTTATGACGGAATATCATGAAAATACAATTCATAACATCCTCACAGGTTTACACATTAGATTTCAAACCATACCACCACTTCGCTTAGGGTTTCTGAATTAGACTACAGATTGACAAGTAATGGTCATACGATTTCAAGCATTCTGAGCATAGAAAGGAAATTGCTGGTTCTTACTGTATCTTTATTGATATCTTAGGTTTACTCAGCCACGCTTCACTCAAAAAGTATAGACCATCTAAACCTCAGCCTCCAGATTATTGTACACATAGGACTGCTAATCATTTCAGTTCAGTTAATTTAAAACTAGAGAGAATTTCGAAATGGAGCATTGCATTAGTTATTCAGAAGTGGTTAAGGTCCTGTTTTTTGTGCTGATATATAGATATGTAATATTGGAGCTGAATAAAATATCGTCTCGCCAGTAAGTTTTCCTGAACATTAAAACTGAGTCAATATGAAAACCAGCTCCTGATTTTACTTTATTTTAAACACCTGCCCTAGCATGCTGTTTATCTCGTTCAACAGTTATTTCTTATAAATAGCATGAACCGACCTATGTTAGACTTCTACTGAGAACCATGAAGCACTAGACAGCTGTTTCGTCCTAGTGTGAGAATTTTATCTCACATCCACAACCTTACCGAAGATATATATATATATATATATATATATATATATATATATATATATATATATATCAGCGCAGTACATTTGGGGCTAACCACACATTAACTAGTTAGGTCGACATAGACAAACTGGATCCTAAGTGTAATAAGGAAAAGACGAAAGCACATTACTGTGCTTAAAGTCACTAACCTCTAGTCTGAGCAATGTTGGTAGACGCAGACTACTTGGTTGGGGTCCGCGTGACTATCGTAACCAATGGTTGGAGACTGTAGGTGACATGGCTGAGAATCGATCACAATTGCGTAGGTGTATACACTCCCTGTCTTCCCTTAAACTAAGAGATTAAAATTACTTCATATCTTTCTTTCTACGAACCAATTCTTTCTTCTTGTATTATATCTCTATATGCAATCCTTCTCTTATATATTACCACCTCTGAATTAACTACATTTATGAATCCGGTGTCCATCTTTTCGTGTTAATGAGGTATAGCAACATGAACCGATGCATATATGTGCCTTGTCCTACGTTGTAGCTGACTGACTGAATATTTGTCATTAACTTGTGTAACCATATAATAATTTTAAGACGGAATGATATTTTCATCCTTATCAAGTGTGATGGTAAGACGAGTAGTTCGGTTATGCAACATCATCACATCAACAAATTGAAAATCCATCAACTTCTCGTATTCACCAAAATAAATAGTCAATTCTTAATAAATACATGTTTTGTTATGTCTCAATAAGTAGAAAAGTTGTATTTCTGACGTTTCGTGACTTACTGTAAGCGAATTCTTCCTAGTAGATAAACAAAAGAGTTAAATTAGCGCGAGTTCAAATAGTACTATATTTATTACTAACTTTCTACCCAATACTCAATTTATTTGAAAATATCAAGTCTAACATTGGCATTGATACTTATAAATAGTTAATTATTACAATAAATAAATAGCATCACATGGTTACTCAGAGATAACCAGCCTGCAAACACGAATAACTTTCTCAAATACATATTTATTTTATCTATAACAATTTTTTCTTGATTTCCAATCAGTCATTTACGTGTCGAGTTGTATCATTATTGAGTTGACGGAAATCGCTTGATTCATGTGTTAACACTTATTAATGAGATCGCAATTTATTAGAAGTTATTGTAATATGAAATTGATTTTCTATGTAAAATGTAAATGAATCAAATGAATAAATTTGTGATTCAAAATGGTGTTTTTAATGCTTACCGTTTTTCAACAAATTGCATCAAGTTTATATATGCTTGAACATTGCTTAACGCCTACGCATATATTCATTCTGTTAGCTATATTATTAACTGCTTAATTGATTCGATGATCCATTCATTTCCCTATATATATATATATATATATATATATATATATATATATATATATATATATATATATATATATATATATATATGTGGTTACGGTTACGAGGGTGATTGTTTAACGAAGCACAGCCACTACAGAACTGATAACCCCGACGTGTGAGCGGGAAACGACTTTCGACGATATTGTCAAATTCCAAAAATGCAACTCACTTCGTCTCAATTTGGATTATCACATGGACTATAATCATAACTGTGGATTTATTATATTACTATTTTAATTACACGTGCATTATTTCACAAACATTATTGAACCTGACGATAATAATTATAATAAATAATGATTATTCACAAACAATTAATATATTGGTGCAATTTAGTAAGTCTGTTCTGTTATAAATTGTACCATTTGTTATTATCGTTGTTTTTGCCCGTTCATTTTTCTTTATGACAGTTACATTATATTCGTGTGCTATTTAAATTTTTTATAAACATGTCTTCAGAAAACACTGTCAAGTTTACAGCAAACCCCGTCCGTGAGGTATCTTAGACTTCCTGTCCCCTCTTTTAAAGTCATCGACCAAAAGCTCTGGTTTATTAGACTTGAAAATTATTTTATGGCTAACCGCATTAACTTAAAAAGAAATAAATTCGGCCTCACAAGCACACTCCTTCCAGATGAAGTAGCAGATAGCGTACGAGAGGCGTTAGCGAAACCAGACACTGAGAAGCCATATGACGTGCTAAAGCAAGCAGTAATTAAAACTTTCTCTCTAAGTGACCAACAAGCTGTTGGACAGCTTTTTAATCAAGTACAAATGGGGGATAGAACTCCGTCACGGCTAAAAACGTATATGAAAGGTCTGCTGGGCGATAGGCAAATAGAAAATAACCTGTTTTATCAACTATGGCTTCGTCAACTTCCGTCAAATTGATTTTCTATGTAAAATGTAAATGAATCAAATGAATAAATTTGTGATTCAAAATGGTGTTTTTAATTCTTACCGTTTTTCAACAAATTGCATCAAGTCTATATATTCATTAAATTTACTTGACATAAAAGATAGTTTGCCTTACGATAACACAGTATCTAATTTATATTGTTTGAATATCGTTGAATCCTAGTTTATAACTCATAAATAGCTTCAGAATTTATACTTGAAGCGATATCGGTCGACTGTCAAAAAAACGACCTCGAATAATGCATTGAATGTTCTAGCACCTGTAAGTGTATCTCATTCCACAAGTGATATTATATGAACTTTAAATGTTTAGCCATTTTTATTAGTACATTCCCTAAGTAAAACCACTTACTTGCTGTCACTTTATGTCAACATCGTCCCTAAAAAGTCTAAATAATTTGATTAACATCAACAATATATCACTGTGTCACATGATACACGCATTTTGGTAGACCTGATTGATATATTTTGGTAATTACTAATTTGTTGTTCTGTGCTCTTTGTTTTTGTTTTACTTTCTCTAGTTGTAGACAGTTATCATTATTTCGATCTGGTACACGAAATGATCTTAATTACTCCGGTCACAAATCAACGGGCTGTCAATTTAAGAAATATTGAAAATTCCCGGCTGATGCATTGGATCGCTGTAATACATGTACTACTTAAACAACTACTGACCTAGTATACTTAAAAGTTTCTTCTATCACATGTTTGTTCTGTACATCTAATGTTATTATTTATATCAAATTGATCATGCCTGTAAACTGGCGTGAATCCTGTAATTATTATTTTCAGAATATAAATTATTATTATGAAATGAAGACTTGCTGATATGTAGACGCCAGTAAATTTGCTTCATTGTTTGAAGAGTATTCGAAAATTTTAATTGAAGCATTTTCAATTGCTTTTGAACGCCATTCCATTTACTTAAGTTTAGACAACCGATTAACATTATTGACTCACACAAATTAAAGAAGTGTGGTTTAAAGTTGAATACACTAATCAAAAATCGATTACCATGTTACATTACTCTTATACAACTTGACAATAGATTAGTACGACGAGGAAGAACTAGTTAGACTGAATAGCACATCTAAGATCACTGTTGATTGTACATTATTTCTTACAGTAAGAAAGGAATTTCAGAAAATAACACCGTCTGTAACTCTGGAAAACTGTTAGTTAATCGAAGTACAACTCTTTGTATGTATTTAAAATTAACCTTGCATTACACTAGTAAAATAGACAAACATTATAAACCGTTGACTTTAAAAACAGTGAATTATCTAGCTGGATTGCACAGACCATGTGACAGCATAAATCAAGCATACAAACAGAAAATACCAATCTATCGACTAACACAACAAAGTGTTTAGGTCTCAACAAATTACTTGCAAACACATAGAACTCATTTAATAGCTGTCAAAACGGCGAGACTATAATTTATGAACGAATCAATCACATTCTGGATAATAGGTCCTGGATTTCGGCGCGAAATTCATTCACCCATTTGTCAAAATAGTGTTTTGGCATTTTAGTTTATGTCAGTTTATGATGACAACCCTAAATCTAACTCCTAACCCTAACCATCAACTGGAAGTCATAATCTGTGTTCTTCACACGGCATTATAACCCTCATTAGCCTTAGTAAATTGGAGGACATTCTCAAGGTCACTATAGAGTCGCTCAAAGTTCGTCCATAAATTATAGTCTCAA